TCCCATTACCAATCCCACTACCTTTGCTCACCCTATGGTCACCCGCATAAAAACGGGAAATCTCAAACCTCGTAGCCTTCTCTCTCACCTGCATCTTGATGACACGCCCACTACTATGACACAAGCCCTCAAACATCCCCATTGGCGCTCGGCCATGACCGACGAGGTTACTGCCCAGCTACGGAATCATACCTGGGACTTGGTCCCTCCTCCACCCAACTGCAATATTCTCTCCAACAAATGGGTCTATCGAACCAAGCTTCATCCAGACGGTAAACTCGATCGACGTGGCTTTGAACAAATTCTTGTTCTCGATTTTCAGCAGCCTTACAACCCGGTTCTGAAGCCGGCTACTCTTCGCCTGATTCACGGTCTTGTCGTTACCCAGGATTGGCCTCTTCATCAAATTGATATTGCTAACGCCTTTCTTCATGGTGAGTTACAGGAACCTGTTTATATGCAGCAGCCGCCTGGTTTCGTTGATCCCGACAAGCCGGATCGTGTTTGTCGACTTCGGAAGTCGATATATGAACTTCGACAGGCGCCCAGAACGTGGTTCCATTGTCTTGCCGCTGCTCTCTCTCGGTTTGGCTTCTCTGTTTCACGCACCGATCCATCTCTGTTTATTTACAAGACTGGTGTCACTCGATTGTATATGCTGGTATATGTTGATGACATCGTCATCATAAGAAATGATTCTGCTCTCATTTAGCGACTGTTTGCCTTCCTTCATGATAATTTTGCGCTAAGGGAATTGGGGTCCTTATCATACTTTCTCGGCATTGAGGTTCACCGATCCTCTATTGGCCTTATCCTCTGTCAGCGCAAGTTCATTTAGGATCTGCTCGACCGTGCTCACATGTATGCTGCCAATACCATCTCTACTCCATCAACAATTGATATCATCCATCAGTCGGCCATGTACTCTTCTCCACTATTTTTTGATCCAACTATGTATCGCAGCATTGTTGGCGGGTTGCAATGTCTCAGCTTCACTCGACCGGATATATCTTTTGCTGTCAACCATGTTTCTCAGTTTCAACACTCTCCCACCGACATCCATTGGGCAGCTGTCAAGCGAATTTTACGCCATCTCCGCGGTACTATTGCTCGAGGGCTTGAATTTTCCAAATCAATCTCTCTTCATGTTCACGGCTATTCGGATGCTTCCTGGGCTTCTTGTCCGAAAGATCGCAAATCCATAAGAGGGTTCGCGATTTTCTGTGGTTCGAACTTGGTGTCCTGGTCCACTCGGAAACAAAAATCTGTCGCCCGCTCCTCCACCGAGTGTGAGTATCGTGCTCTTGCCACCCTTGCCTCTGAGGTTCTTTGGTTAAAGACTTTTCTTCATGAGTTGGGCCAGACGATTCCTTCAACTCCACCTCTTTGGTGTGACAATCTTGGCGCGACGTTTTTTGCGCATAATCCTGTGTTTCACAATCGGTCAAAGCATATGGAGATAGAGTTTCACTTCGTTCGTGATCAAGTCAGCAAAGGTCAACTACACGTCCACTACTTACCTGCTCCTGATCAGGTCGCTGATGTGTTGACCAAGCCATTACCACGACTGTCCTTCTCCAAGTTCTGTTCCAAGTTTCGCCTCACCGAGCCTCAACTTGCGGGGACGTGATAAGGGACTTGGTTCCTAAGTTTCTCCTTTGTTGTTATCTGTTAGTAGTGGAACGTTGACCACTTCTTTCTGTTCCTTATTTCACTCCTTCTGTTGCTATTCATTCGTTGCACTCTTTTGTTGTGTACTATAAATATGTTGAATCAATAATAGAAACTTAAGCTTTGAGTTTTCACTTGGAAGGTATGAAGATATCTCGCAAAGCTGGTCCAAGAAAATAAGTTTTGCCACAAGATGAAACCTGTTTGCACAAAGAAACAGGGAAAATAAGTGTGATGCTAAAATAAATATCTGTGTGCCAGCCCATTGCATTCGCTATGTGCAAAAAATGCAGAAAATTTCTTTACTTATTGACATCACCGCATGAATCTAGTACGATTCCTGCTGTGAATTTGACAAAAAGCTGCATTGTGGACTTTATGCTTGCTTCAGCCGACAAATTACTCTGTATTTCAGGATCCAAATGCTCAGATGGATGGCCATTATTGGATAGAGACTGTCAGACTGCAGACATTAGGCCAAAGCATATGACCAATACTGGAGTGCCTCTAAGACCTTAAAAGAGGATAGAAGCTGTACCTGAATCCATGGGTCCAAGCTCTGCAAATGAACTTCTGCACTGTCATTTAAAGAATCCAATGCAGGCTTGTCAACCTGCAGCACTCATGTAACTTAGAGGATTCCTGATTCCCTTGTGAAGGACGATAAAAGTGCCCAAAGAATGTGCCCGGGGACCACTTCAAATGCATGCAATGGCACTATTCTTACCCGTTCAAGTTGCAGCTTGCTAAAATGATCAGGGAACGTTTTCGATAGCAATGTGCAAATCCTGGGATAGTTTGGGAAAATGCCTGCCTTCCAAAAACCTTCAGAAAACGAATGAGCTATCGGATCTGGATATTCCAATATTTGATTTAGCCTATACATTTTGGACATCAGGCCTTCAACAACTTCAGTTAGTTGGACAACCTACTGCAAGTTCATACCCTTATGTGAGGCACCCGAACCCTGAAGATGTCCATATGAACCCTTAAACCTAGAGGACCTGAACGCCACTGGAGATGTCATGTCAGGACCTAAGTACTCTGTCCATCTAGCTGGACCCTCCAAGTCCTTGGATCTATCAGTAGTGGGTGATAGCGACGAATCACGGAACGAGAAATGCTGATGTGACTTCGCCATGGGATACTATGCAGAGCTAGGAATAACCCAGAAAATGAGATTTAGTCTATCAGCTACCAAGCTTCAATGAAGTAAACTCAATGCAGTTGGGAAATGCAGCCATTCACCCAAAGCCATTGTTGGAGGCTCTTGTAATTAAAGTTGATGAGAGAACAATTCAAACGACACTGCAATGGACAATTTAAGAGAGACTACTTTAGTGCGTTGAACAAAGATGACATCCAGGACCCTAATCTTTTCGGTTTTTCACTGGAACAACAACTGTAGCACACTACAACGGTAACAATTGTTTACTCAACAAATTCTCTCTACTTCACTGGAACTACGACAGAAAATCCAACAATTCACCACTAAAGAAAAGGGGATTTCTTAGACCTGGCAATTGGGTCGGGTTGGGAACTTCGGTTACGGGTCGGGTCATAATTGGTTGGCTTATTTCGGGTCAATATTGACCCAACCCATTCGGTTTCAGGTCGGGTTACAGGTCATTTCGGGTTATGAGCGTTCTCAAAAACAATATCAAACATGCTTCATATTTTCTTAAAGAACATAAATTTTCACATATGCTTGACAATAGTTTACGTAACACATGTCAATTAACATATTCTCAAATCCTCCCACGCTAATGAAATGAAATATAAATTGCGCAAATCGTCAAAAAACAATCACAAGAGTAATACTACTACAAGAAACACATGATATTTGATTATCCTTATACTCCAAACATGTCATTCAAATATTTGTGATTTTCTTAAAATATCTCATCAATTTATGAGTGATTTTATCATATTTTGGGAGTAATATATTAAATGGAACGGGTCTAACGGGTCGACCCGCTAACCCACCCAACCCGACCCTAAAATCATGGGTTATCGGGTTCGGGTCATTCGAATTTTGGGTTACAAAAACTTCTAGTTTTCGTGCAGTTTCGGATCGGGTCAACGGGTCGGGTTGTAATTTGCCAGATCTAGAATTTCTAAAGTAAAAAAAAAACAACTAAGGTAAGAAAAGAGAATGAATTGCAGTACACTCACAAGTTGGGTTCCACATCCATAATGTAGCTAGCAGGCTAGCAAAACCAATACAGAATTCAAGGATAAAACACGCTCCTCCTCCCCCCAGGGTTTCTCGAAAACAGAAGAACATAAAGGGAAACGGAATCAAGAAGAACCCATCTTCGGAGGTCGTCGAAGGTTGTTGGCGTCGGACTCCACTCGAAACCCTCGTCGACGTCCTCAGTCCTCTCAAGTCGAAGAGGGGGTTGTCTTCAGCTGCGGCGGATGAGTTTCTGGAGTGAGAGAGAAGAGAGGGAGGGGAAGAAGATACAAGATAATCTTCTTTTTTTTTCTTTAACTTTTTCATAAGAATACAAGCATTAGTTAAAATTATAAATATCCATGTGGCAAAGTCAAATGTTTGATTTTGTGCCACATCATCAAATTCATTCCACCTCAGCAAAAGATTTGCCACATCATAGTCAACTAATTTTTGACCAGATGAAAAGTTAACGGTTTGACTATTAAATTATTTTAAAAAAAAGTTTGGCTATTATTTTGTTTAGGGTAAACCCAAAAAGTTTGACTATTATTTTGTTTAAATTCAAAAGGATTTGGCTATTAAATTGTATTCACCCTTATAGACAGTTTGGTATCAAATGAATCGAGAATTCATTTTATTGTAAATTGAATTGCCATGTAGAATTCATTTCAAATGTGTTTGGTATGTCATATATATAAGTAATTTAGTTGATAAACAAGGATAATTATGTCATTTTATTATAATTAGTAAATACTTGTGGAATTTCATTTGAAAATTCCATCTCAATTCTTCGGAATTGCTTTAACTAGTTTCAATTTCATAAAATTTAAAATTTAGAATTGAAAATGAATTCTTTTGAATACTGAATACAAAAATGTTTCATTTCAAAAATAAATTCCCCAAACTTATAGAATTCATTTATACCAAATCGCATGTTAAAAGAATTGTGATAGTTTTATACCGAATAGATCTAATTAGCCCGTATCGCATGTTAAAAGAATTGTGATAGTTTTGTACGAATAGATCTAATTAGCCCGTAGAGTACGGACAGACGGGCTCGTCGTGGCGCAGATCATTGAGATCAGCGTATCTATCCAAATCCGGATCTGTAAGCCATAAAAATAAAGAATAAACAAAGGAAGAGTGAAAAATGAAAAACGGAAATCACAGTCTCGTCAAAGCATAGTTTGTCGTTCTCCCCACGGCTTTGTCATCGCCAAGGAAACCTTCCCCAATCCTTCGCCCAAACCCGAACCCTAAGTTCGCCTGCCAATCGTGTGATTCCTAATTGACGCGAAATCGGTTCTTAACTTTGGTCTGCCTGTGATTGGAGCAACCTAGTGCGGGAATTCGGTCGAGATCAGCTAAGGAAGGGATGGCTGTGTTGCTTGAGGACATAGTTAAGTCTGTGGAGCTATGGCTGAAATTCCTGAAGAAAGAACCCCAATCCTTCGTCGATCCGACTCTCGACCCGGTCCTCCTGGTGCCGGGCGTAGCTGGTAGTATTCTGCACGCGGTTGATAAGGATGACGCCGGAAAGGTGGAGCGGGTTTGGGTTCGAATCCTCGCTGCTGATCATGAGTTATGTGCCAAGCTCTGGTCTCGCTACGATCCCTCTACTGGTACGGCTTGGACTAAGTTTCGTACATTGCATTTGCTTGCTTTATTTTGATGATATTTTTGATGTCCATGGTTTCTCAGCTTTACCTCACTTCGTTATTAGGGTTTCCTGCAAGGGAAATGACGTCAATTACCTAGGAATATATGTTGAAAGACAAAATCTTTGTGCGAGGGTTGCACTTTCTATTTCTTGATTGAGGGAATCTAGAAACTGTAGTGGAGCTAAAACTCTCCTGATGCATTTATGCTGATAAGTAAGATGGAGCATGACCTAATTTGGCTTGAGGTTCTTTAAACCGGCCAGTTCTTGCTTCATTTGTTGAAAGTTTATTGCTTCAATTCAGTTTTGGCTGCCCTAGTTGTTTGATTCCCTCAAGGTTCTCTCTGGGGAGCACTTTACTGTAATGAGTTTGGGTTGGTGTTGTTCATGGGGATTATAACCTTGCCTCTGATATCTTGTTAACAAGACAGATTTTAGATGGACTAATGGTTGTTTGTATTTTATTTTTGTATAATCTGTTGATAATTTTCCGTACTTCAGTCACCATTCATCTCTTTACCAGACATGCGATATACTTTCACGATCAAACTTCATAGATGCTGTTATCCTTTATTTTATGGACTCTACTCATCTGAAGTCTCTTTTTGTCAAACAGGTGAAACTGTATCTTTAAATCAAAAAGTAAACATTGTGGTTCCTGAAGACAGATATGGATTGTATGCAATTGATGTCCTGGATCCTGACCTGGTACATCTTGTTTCCTTTCCGGTCTTTTCAGATATTCTGACTTTAAATAGTAGGCGCAACAAGCAATTTTGACTTACCATTATTAGTTTGATCTAAATCCAAAGCAATGTTCTGTGTTGTGCAGATCATAGGACGTGAATGTGTCTATTATTTTCATGACATGATCACTGAGATGCTGAAATGGGGCTTTCAAGAGGGGAAAACTCTGTTTGGTTTTGGGTATGATTTCCGACAAAGCAACAGGTGAGGTTTGGATTTTATGATTGCGTCACTAATGTCTAGTGGATGTAAATTTTAGTCAGCCACCTAATGCGGAACGCAGCAATGTGACGGATAACTGAATAAGTAGCACTAATTATCAACAATTGGTTTGGTTTCCATCATGGTTTTCAATGATCGTAGAACTATCATCACTTGCAAGTCTCTTTTGTTTATGGAAATGCTTCTTCGGATGTGGCATCTCTTTTTTATTTCTCATACTGATTACAGTTGTTTTCCTTGTGATTGTTTATTGATGACAAATAACATTCATATTTTATTTATGCATCAGGTTACCTGACACAATGGACCGTTTTGCTAAGAAGTTAGAGTCTGTGTACAATGCTTCAGGAGGGAAGAAGATAAATGTTATAAGTCACTCCATGGGTGGCATTTTGGTTAAATGTTTTATGTCCCTGCACAGTGATGTAAGATAATTTTTTCAGTCCCCTCAAGTTGAATGCTCTAATCTTTTATATTCCTAGATTGGAAAACTTGAAATCAACTCTCCTGCTTCGTATACCCTTTTGTAGGTGTTTGAGAAATATGTGAAGAACTGGATTGCAATTGCTTCACCATTCCAAGGTAAGTGATTGTGAAATTAGCAAATCCCAAGCTGTCTGTACTGCTCTGTGTTGTCCAGATCGCTATATGATAATATTTTTTAAGAAATTGCTCTATTTTTTAAGCATTGATTATTATTGGCATCTTTGGTTGTTTGGTCGTTTCCTTGGGAATCATTTTTAATTAGCTTCTGTCTCATTGAATTTTCTCCAACAGGTGCTCCAGGGTATGTCATGTCAACCTTTCTGAATGGGATGTCGTTTGTCGAAGGGTGGCAGCAGAACTTTTTCATATCGAAGTGGAGCATGCACCAGATGGTGGGACCCTATCCCAACTTAAATCTTCTGCTATTGTTTTAATCCTTGTTTTACCATATGATGTTACTCTAATGGTATAGCAAGTTGATTTCTGTTATTCTGATCCTGCTTACCATACTGAAGGCCTGTTTGTATTTGTTGCTAACATTCGTTATGTGATGATGTTTCAGCTCATTGAATGTCCATCTATTTACGAGTTGATGGCCCATCCAACTTTTGATTGGGAACACATTCCTTTTCTGGAGTTCTGGAGAAACAAACAAGATAGTAATGGGAAGTCTCAAATAATGCTCGAGAAATACACCCCTAGAGAGACGATAGGAATTTATAAAGGGGCTCTTTCGAGTAACAAGGTGAGCTCTGAACTTCCAAGGGGTCTCTTATGTTATAGCTTACAGAAAGCATTCTGATTTGTCAGGCAGCTGAATGACATATTAGCTCTACGGGGACACGATGACTTTTGTGATTCTTGGGTTTTTCCTGAGAAAAAGGCACGACATATACTTAATCAGACATGTTCCCGGGAAATATAACATATTAGCATTGGTCTTTTTTGAATTAGTGAGAGACGTGGGGTTGCTTTTGCCTTGTTGCATTATGGACAGTGAGAAATGCATCCGTTAGCCTTAATAATTAGGTGAAGGTGATGCAGATGCTGCCACAGTGATGATAATTGTTAATGGGATCTGTACTTGAATAGAGTTCTTGTTCAATGTTAACATCTAAGCTTCACTCCACCCAGGTTAGCTATGGTGGTACAGATTTGCCATTGCCTTTCAATGAGGACATCATGGAATGGGCTGGAGAAACATTCAAAATTCTGTCACGGGCGAAGGTTCCATCTAAAGTTAAATTCTATAATATATATGGGACGAGCCTGGCGACACCTCATAGTGTTTGGTAATGCTCATCCCTCCCTGTTGATTTGATAATTCACGTGTGAGTTTTTTATATTAATTATTATCGCAATGTCATATGACATTGTTAATTACTTAAAATTGCTATTCAGCTATGGGGATGAGAAGACGCCTGTCAGTGATCTGGGAGACCTGCGATATTACCAGGTTATTTTCTACTACACTCGACTTTATTTTTTCTATGAACTTATTTCATCAAGCTTTTCCTTCTTTGTCAAACACATGGGCACATTGTTGTAAGAAGTCAAAATGTTTGCTGTTAGCTGACATTTCTTTCTCTATGTTTCCAGCCTAAATATGTATGCGTGGATGGAGATGGGACAGTTCCTGTTGAGTCCGCTAAGGTTAATTTGACTTCCTCTTTTATCAACTGAATAGATTATTTCCAGCTTTAAATGGCAAAACTACCAGTTATGTTAGAAGTTAGGACTCATACATCTCTCTCTCTCGGACCGTCTTTAATTATCTTTACAGGCGGATGGTCTGAATGCAGAAGCAAGGGTTGCAATACCTGGTGAGCACAGGGGGATTCTTTGTGAGCATCATTTGTTTAGGGTGGTGAGGCACTGGATAAAGGCAGGTGCACCTGATCCTTTCTACAACCCAATTAACGACTATGTTATCCTACCCACTGCATTTGAGATGGATATGCGTAAAGAGAAGGGTTTGCAGTTCACCTCCCTGAAAGAGGAATGGGAAATAGTAGCCTCAGGGTGTGAGCATGAAGAAGATGCGGCAGGTGATGAGCCAAAAGAACCTCTAGTCAGTTCAATTACTGTGTCCCGTCCAGGAGATGATCAATCTTCAGCAGCTGAAGCTTGTGCAACCCTAGTTGTTCATCCACAGAGCGAGGGCAAGCAACTTGTGGAGCTCAATGCTTTGAGTGTATCTGTTGATGCCTAGAATTGTTGTGAAGAGAAAAATTCATGGCTATGTGTGTATATATATCTAGTGATGTACCAACTATCATGGAAGGTGAAGACCTGTTTCTGTGCAGAATGTAAATAGCAGCGTCGGATGACAATCAACGCAAGGAAGAATGTGACCTGTGGCTTTCCTACTGCCTGTAAATCGGAATGGTCTAATGTTGAATCAACCATGTTGCATATCTGCATTATGTGATTCATTATGCGTTCTAAATTCAGCTTGGCAGGTTCTTAGCGATAGTTGATAGACACGCCTAATCGTTCAAATCTGATCAAATGGGCACTCTTGATACGGTTTAACGGAATGTCCAACCTGTTGGGCCAAAAGCTTTTCAAGTTCTTGAGGCCTAGAGGGACCCTAGAAGGTGGTAAATACTAGGGGTGAAATTCTGACCCTTAAAACCCGGCGACCCATCCCGTCCCGTCCCGAAGGGTCGGGCCGGGTCAATCTGCATAGAGGGATAAGTTCGGGACGGGTCTTCCCCTTGACCCTATAAGGGACGGGTCAAACTACACTCAGACCCTAAAAAACCCACCTGACCCTATGACCCGGAAAACAGACCCGTAGAAATTAAAGAATACACTTCTCCTTCTTCATTCTTCTCGCCTCGGTTCTCACTTCTCATCGACTGAAAGAAAACCTACACCCTAAAATCTCAACCGATTCTCGACGACTTCCGTCCGGGCGTCCAGCCCAGTCGTCGCGCTTCCTCGTCGTCGGCGCGGTTGGAGAATCCCTTCACCGCTTCACGATACCTCTTCTCCATTCTTCTTCTCATCGACTAAAAGGGAAACCTACAGCCTAAAATCTCCATCGATTCTCGGCGACTTCCATCTGGGCGTCCAGCCTAGTTGTCGTGCTTCCTCGTCGGCGGCGCGGTTGGAGAATCCCTTCACGATACCTCGTCGCCAACATGACCTTGGAGAAGAAGTTGTTGGTCGAAAATCTGCATCAATTATAGGTATGTTTCTTCGGTTTCCTTCTTTCATTGTCTCTGTTTCAGCCCCAAGATTGGTGGTCTCTAGCTACTCTTACTGCTTTGATTTTTGTGGATTTGCTCATATATGTGTGGTCTGAGTTTGGTATTTTGGTTACCCATATATGTATGTGGTCTGGGTTTGGTCTTCTGGGTGTTTTCGTTGTTGAAAAGTGTACTCATTTTAGCTCTGGAGTCTAGAAGTTAAACAAGTTTAGCAAGCTGGTTACATAGGCAGGCTAGTTTTTCCTTTCAAAAGTCATGTAAAGTTTACTTGGACAAACCAGGTCGTCAGCTATGGTCAATTTGGTTTGTGGGTATTGCTGTTAGCCTGTTAACCATTACTGTCCTCATGGTTTTGTGAGTTGCTTTCTGTAAGATCTGATAGCTAATAGTAGGTATGCTTAATTATATATGATGATAAACCAATAGGAAATCATTGGATGGTGAAAGTAGAGGTGACGATTTTGTTTGGAGGGGAGGAAGATAACATAGAACAGTCCAGGAATCTATCTTCTTATCTTCCATTGTTCCTCTGTTCCTCTTGCTTTGTTTCTTGTCTTCCACTGAGTGAGTCTTATCTACCCCTTGCGTCAATCTTTTGTCGATGCTTGCAAGTGCAATGAGGTGACAAAGTTTCATTATAGAGTTTGTGATTTCTACTGGTTGAGTCGATGCAATGATTCAGATTTATGATTTGTCCATTTCTGTAAGATCTGATAGCTAATAGTAGATATGCTTAATTATTGTTGGCAGTGATTGGAGAACTAGGAATTGCAAGAGAAGGTGATCTTCTTAATCTGTGACTGAAGAATCTGTTGATGAACTGAAGAAGAAAATTCAGTCACAGGTAATTCAAATCACAGCGGATAATCGAACTACTTTTATAGTCATAGTAGTAAATCGTACAAGAGTTGATTGGTGTGTCAAAGTTTGATTGTTCTGAGCAGAGGTTTCTTGTGCAGCTTAGTCAATATGAACATTGAACTGAACTAACAAATTAGAAATGATGAAAAGAGTATATGAACTAAGCTATATGCTGTCTCACTTTTGCTGTAACATACAAAGCTCATAAAGTTTGGATCTTGTAATTACACCACTGATGTTATAGATTGTTGTTTGCTTTGATTCTTTAACATGGTTATAATAATATATCATCTTCACTTGGTATTAATTATTTGATTCATTAAAATGGCAGGATATGGATGAAGCTAGCAGTAATCCCATGGAGGTCTCCACCAATGCACCTTCTCAAGGAAATCTTCCATTGGAAGTTGATGAAAATGAAGAAGGTACATTCGGAACTTCAGCTGTATGGGAGCATTATAATAGACAAAATTGGTCGGATAAGGAAACTAGAAAAGCTGTTTGCAAATATTGTTCATCAAAGTTAAAATGTCCATCTACTTTTGGAACAAGTGGTTTGAAAAGGCATTTGCAAAGATGCAAAAAATATCCTTATAGTAATCATAATCAGAAGAAATCTAGAACTCCTAGCGCTCAAGGTACCAATACTACAGCTCAGGGTACTAGTAGTGCTTCTCCTACTTTTACACCTCACACATATGATCCAGTTGTCTCAAGGATGAAACTTGCTAGAATGATCATTATTGACGAGTCACCTTTTAGGCAAGTTGAGCATGAAGGCTTCCGTGACTTTGTCTATTCGCTAAGACCTGAGTTTCACATCCCTTCTAGGATCACCATAGCCAAAGACTGTTTTAAGTTGTTTTTGGCTGAGAAGGAGAAGTTGAAAAATTACTTCAAGCAGTCACAGATTAGAGTTTGCCTCACAACTGATATATGGGCAAGTAGACATCATTTGGACTACATGAGTCTAACTGCTCATTTCATTGATAATGAATGGAAAATGCAGAAAAGAATTATCAACTTCTTTCCTATTCCTAATCACACGGGTCTCACGATTGGAAAAACGGTTGAAAAACACTTGCTTAATTGGGGAATTGATAGGGTTCTAACCGTGACAGTCGATAATGCAAGTTCGAATGATGTGGGCATGACATATTTGAAGAGGATTAACAATTGGAAGGGGAGTGTGTTGAAGGGAATACATCTTCACATGAGATGTTGTGCTCACATATTGAGCTTGACTGTGAAAGATGGATTGAAAGATGTTGATGATTCAATCCATCGTATTCGGTCCGCTGTGAGATATGTGAGGTCATCAAACTCCCGAATGAAGAAATCGAAGAACTTGAACAAGGTATGAAGAGTAATTTGTTTTTAACATTCACTATTTTATTTAGATCATTATTAATTTATTTGATGTGTTGTTAATTTTGGAGAGTTGAAAGAGTCTTGCTTGGATGATTGTACTATCATGAGTGATTTAGTTGACGATGATTGAAGAATGGTGTACTTGATTATTATCGAACAATGATGTATTGTGTGATCATGAGTATGGTGTACTTGATTATTATCGAACAATGATGTATTGTGTGATCATGAGTATGATGTACTTGATTATTATCGAACAATGATGTCATTGATGATTATCTAACAATTGATGTCATTTCATCCTTTCATCAAGCACATATATTATGGGAGTTTGGTAAATAGATAATTTTCTGAAATTATTTTGGCAATTAATTAATATTCTGGAATTAATTGGGTAAAAAAATAATTTTCTGGAATTAATTTGATGAATAGATAATTTTATGAACAGAAATTCGTAAATAAAATGATTTTTTGAAATTAATTTCGTAATTGATTAATTTTCTGAAATAATTTCATAAATAAATAAATAAATTAATTAAATTTCTGGAATTAATTTGATAAATAAATGATTTTCTAGAATAAATTGGGTAAAAAAATAATTTTCTGGAATTATTTTGACAATTGATTAATATTTTGGAATTATGTTGGTGATTGATTAAATTTTTGGAATTATTTTGGTGATTAATTAATTTTTTGGAATTAATTTGATGAATAAATAATTTTCTGAACTGAAATTCGTAAAAAAATTAATTTTTGAAATTAATTTCGTAATTGATTAATTTTCTGAAATAATTTCATAAATAAATTATTTTCTGAAATAATTAATTAATTTTCTGTTTTTTTTTTATAATTTGGTATTTAATTTTGTGTTGGAGAGGGTCGACCCGCTGACCCGTCCCGACCCGTCCCGACCCTAAAGGGTCAGACAGGGTCAAGAAGAGAACAGGGACGGGACGGGTCGATTATGCAAGCTGACCCTGTAGGGACGGGACAGACAGGGTCAGCGACGGGACAGGGACGGGACATGCAAATTTTCAGCCCTAGTAAATACAGGATCGGCTCTAACCATAATTGATAGTCCGTAAGCAAACGTCCTACTCATGAAAGAAGTGGTTGTGCCACTACAGGGGCAGTTATGTTAAAGCTCTGAGGAGCAAAATGATATGATACATATTCAAGTGAAGAAAAAAGAACGAAAAAAAGACAAACTTCCTCCAAGGTGACACTGGCTATCGACTGAGAAGCCTTCTTGGATGATACATGTCAGATGCCCAATTTCGAATCACCACAAAATGCAACAACCAAAACATTATGTATTAGACACCATGGCATAACATCTCGAAGAGCAAATAATTTGCAACAAAAGCATATGAGATACCATCATAATTTACCGAAAGCAAATAGTATGGTTCCGTCACCTGATAGACCTAAGAAGCCTGAGGGGTGTGTGATGTCCCCCAATGGGGTATGTGATGTCCTGATTGTTTCTCTGGGAACCTTGATTAGTGGGTACATTGCTTGGTATGGATTGTCTTCCTTCTTCCAAAACTTATGTCCCTCTGCCATCCTCCATTCCTCTACCTAAGCGGTCATTTGACGAAATAACAGTGGGGCTTGGAATGATGTAAAACTAAAGACGGTGGTTTGCATAGACCTTTTTATATACGCCAGAATTGGAAAATCGTGTAAGCTACAATAATCTTTGAGATCTGAGGCAAAACAAAAGTTCTCTCCATGCTAGGTCCATTTGGAGCATTCCAATGGTTGATCTTCGTTGTTCCCATCCTACTATATGCCATAATTCCTTAGTAATCCTACGATCAAAGAAACAGTGGGTCATATCTTCTACAGGATCCCAACAGCGATGGCATATGCTTATACTGGAAATGTGTTTATTGAAGAGAATCCCTCATAATGGAAGCCACGAACCAGTCTCCAAAGAATTTTTGTTAGTTTTGTGGGATTGGATCATTTCACAAATATTTCTAAAATTTGGTGTCCAAGTA